ATTTATTTATTTTATTTGACCAGAGAGGGACAGAGCAAGAGAGAGGAAAGGAGAAAGCAAGTCACCAGGTTCAGGACTCGAATCATGGTCAACCATGTGGGAGTCCAGCACCCTCAACCACCACGCCACCTGCCAGCCCCCATTCATTTATTTTAATTTGACCAGACAGAGACACACACACAGAGAGAGAGAGAGAGAAGGAAAGTGAGAATGCAGGTCACCAGGTCTGGGACTCGAACCATGGTCGGCCACATGGGAATGTCCAGCACCTTAACCACCACGCCACTTGCTGGTTCCCTGGGATTCTAAGACCAAATTCGGAAAAAATATTAACATCTTAACAATATTGGGTTTTCCAAACCATATTCTGAACACAGATTATCTGTTTATTTAGGTTTTCTTTGATAATTTTTCATCAGTTTATAATTTTCCACACATAGACCATATATATATTTTGTTGGATTTATATCTAAGTGTCTCATTTGGAGGGTACTTTTTTAAAGTTTTATTTATTTAATGTTTTTTTTTGCCATAGGGCAGGTGTGCTCACAGAGAGACAGAGAGAACATGAAAAATCACCACCCCTTTGGGGGGTCGGGGGGGGGTAGCCATGTCTTAATCCCTTCTCCTCTCAGAATTTTGGACACACTTGCACACGTGTCCTGTCTGATTTTCAAGCCACTGGGTCTGGGACTCAAACTGTGGTCAGCATGTGGGAATCAGTGCCTTAACCAACATATCACCTTCTAGCCCCAAAACAATTGAGTTTTATTTATTGACATTGTGTCCTGTAACTTCGTTATTAGTTCCAGGGTTTTTGTTGTTGTTGTTGTTGTTGTTTCTTTATGATTTTCCACAAAGACTTTTGTGTCATCTCTGAACAGAGACAGTTTGATTTCTTTCCTCCATAATGTATACATTTTATTTTATTTTCTTGTCTTATTCCACTACTTAGAACTTTTGGTACTATGTTAAATAGAATTGAAGAGATTCCGTTCCAGATCTTTGGGGAAGATAATCTAGTTTTTGACCATTAGTGTGATGTTAACATAGGGTTTTTTCTTATAGATGTTATTTATCAAATTGAGAAAGTTTACCTATTACAGTTGAGTTTTTATCATAAATAGGATTTGGATTTTGTCAAACATCTTTTTTCTGTATCAGCTGACCTTGTAATTTGTCTTCTTTAGCATGTTATTGGTAAAGAGGACAGTATTGGTAAAGAAGACATCCATTTACTGGATTTTGTAAGTTTTTTAAAATACATTTTCATTGAGGTAAAGTTTACAAACAGCAAAATGTACAACTGCTAAAGTTGTAAATAGATGAGTTTTATAAATGGGCTCACTGTGCAACTAATATTTTAATCAAGATATAGAACATTTGTATCACCCAGAAAAGTTTTTTTATGTTCCCTTCTAGTTAATCTCCATCCCTCACAGGCAACTACTATACTGATTTCCATCACTTGAACTGTGTAGAAATGAGACAATGCAGTGTTTGATATGTCTTCTTTTTAAATTTTTCAACATAATGCTTTTGAGGTTCAGTAATGTTACTTCATGTATCAGTAGTTTGTTCCTTTTTATTGCTAAGTAGTATCCATTATAGTACAAATATACTCATACTTTGGTTATCTATTCTCCTGTTGCTGATCATTTAGATGATTTCTAGTCTTCGGCTGTTTTCATTAAAGCTACTATTACCATTTTATTACCTGTCCTATGATGGACATAGATTTTCTGTTCTCTTAAGTAAATAGCTAGAAAAGGAATTGCACAGGTATATATTTAGCTTTATAAGAAATTATTTTTTCATTTTAATTCCTGTATGTTTTTTAGCTATATTTCTGTGTCTCTTTTTGTTTTTAAAATCTTTGCTCTAAGGGTTGGCAGGTGGCATGGTGGTTAAGGTACTGGACTCCCACATGGCTGAATGTAGTTCAAGTCCTGGACCTGGCAGCTTGCTTTCTCATTTTCCCTCTCTCTCTGGTCAAATTTTAAAAAAATGATAATAACAAATAAAATAAAACAAATAAATAATTTTCTTTGAAAAACCCTTTTCTCTAGGCATTAAAATATGCATCCTTAACTTATCCTAGTTTGCTTAGAGATACTATGGTACCACTTCACATAGAAAATAAAAATTTTATGATTGTAATTTCCCAATCCCTTGAGCTATTGTTGCATTTATTTTATATACTGGTGTAATACGTTCTACAAAGTAATGTCTTTATTTCTGCTTCAGACTGTCAGTTGTTTTTCATAGAATTTAAGAGAAGAAAAAGAAATTTTGTATGTACCCACACAGTTACCATTTCCAGTAAACTTCATCGATTCACCTTTCAACCTTTTCACCTTTTTCTGACATCATTTTCTTCTAACCTAAAGAGCTTCTTGGGGGGCCGAGCTGCGCAAGGTGGCAG